TGCCTATCAAGCCAGTGATTTATGGCTAAATTGTAATTACCCTCACCTGAATCCTTTCCTAGCTGTGTTCTCTCTAAAGCAAGCTCTTGGCTCCCCAGTCCCTACTTGGATCAAACCTTCCTGACCCCAGTATTTTAGGGGTCATAGGTAGAGCCCTGCCCCATTATAAACACAGGGACTCTGACTATACCCTAAGGATAGTGATAGCCTATGTTCAGAATAACCTAATATTTCCTTGGGCGAGGAAAAGGAGACACTGATGGGACTATAATGTGAGTGTCACGACTGACTTAAGGGGACAGAGTCCAACTTTAGAAGGAGTCCAAAGAGAAAATATTGATCAGTGGTCATCTGTGGCTCATCTTGGGTTTAAAGTGGCAGAGGGAGGGGCATTCAGGGCGAGGAAATGAGTGTCTCACTGGAGAGGTCAGACAAGGAAGGAATAGTAAAGCAGCAGACGACTGCATCATGACGGCTTCCAGGGATGGTCAGGAGGTACGGAAAGCGACGAGTCACCACATGCGCCGAGGTGTCCATAGATTTCAGTGGAGTCACTGGGCAAGAATCTGTACACCGAGACACACTGCCCCCCAGCGGTGAGCTTTCTGCCAGGTATTTCTGACTTAGGAAGTCCTCCCTTTTCGTCTAGCCCAGGCCACCTTACCACTTCTCCTGAAAGCTTAGAGACCTTATATTTTTTCAAGCAAAAAGAAAGCAAAGCAAAACCAAGATCAGTTCCACGGAGAGCATTTCAGGTCATGGAGAATAGGAAACACCAAAACTGGGACACTGCCTTACTCAGCTAGGAAGCATTTGTGCTTTGAAGGCTGGAGGGGGTCAAGGCTGGTACCTTCAGCCGTTAATGGTAATGTTTTTTTATCGAACTGAGTGTTAGGTACAGTGGCATCTGAAATATTTCATAATTTTCAGGAAGAAATGTCTGAAAGGAAAAAGACAAGAAAGGTTATTTTATCTATATCCCTGCTTCTATTTGGGAAAAGTAGAGGCCTCTCCTGTTAGCTTCAATGTACTATAAAGAAAAACTGCTCACAGACAAGACTTGGCCTACTTTCTTCTTTGAGGTTAATGCTCACAGATCAATTGTTTGTTTGTTTGTTTGTTTTTCAAAACAGATGTTCAAGCACCATCTAGGAAGCTGAACTGACTTCAGTGATTCCATCCGTGGGTGTCACTAGTTGCATCGGACTGATTCCAAGATGCCCCTCCTGTTTTGTTGGTATCCTAGCATCACCCGTTCTCGAGTGACATGTCAGGAGGAGAGCTCATAGCCCTGAAGTGTTCAGGCGACTCTGCTGCTGCTGGAGTCCCGGGTCACCCGGGCTTGCTCCGACTTCCTGTTAGTCCTGCCCTGCCTGTTCTTCACTGTGAGCCTAGGATGATTGCCCTGCTCGTTTCCTACCCAACTGTCACTGCAGAAAGAGAAAAGATAAAAGCCACGAGTCACCTTGTTAGAAAATATATGGATAGCTAAAGCCAGAGATGAAATAGAGCAGGATAGATCTGACGGTTAGGACTGGACCTGCAAATAATCTGTGTGCTTCACGTTTCCCGGTTGGGATCTCCTCCAACCTCGAGGCAGACTGGTGCCGTGCGGATGTGCGGCAGCATGGGGTATCCTGCTCGGACTGAAACCCTTGGGCGGCCCTTTCCCAGCTGCTCGACCTCAGTCAAGTTATTTAACCTCCTTGTGAAATTTAGACAGTAAACGTAGCTACCTTTTGAAGTTAAAGCAAAAATTAAGTGAAACGATGCATGAAAATGCTTAGCATTTTCCTCGCACATAGGAAGAATTTAGGCAGTTACGGCGCGCATTCATTTTTAATTTTTCTTCCTGCTCTTTTACCTTTAATAAGAAAAATACTTTAAAAAGTTGATAGGTTTTTGAGACAGACTGTTTCCTGGATAAATCCAGCTTCCAGGCAAAAAATATATCTGGTAAGAGTGGCTTCAATACCTGAAGAAGACTTCCTGAAAGCAGTGAACTCGTCCACCTCTCTACCTTCTACAGGTGCCAAAACCTGCCCATGAAAGAAGACAGGGGCTGCTAAACTGGTAGGTAGCTTAGCTTGTTTTTCTTTGCTATTCATCACCGCCTGGTAGGTAGCTTAGCTTGTTTTTCTTTGCTATTCATCACCGCCTTCTTGGGCAGCTGAAGACCCACACAGTGGAGCTCAGGCTCCCTCCTTCCAAGCTAACCAGTCATTTTTTCATCAGGACAAGGCCCTCTTCGGGGAGAAAATGGTGTCATTTCCTGCGGAAATAAACGAGGCCGCCACGATTGTTGGCGGACACTAGGCTGTGGTGAGTGGCTCCCCTACAGCATCCCTGCGATGGAGGCACCCTCCGCGGTGGGATGTGTGAGGCGCTGCAGTTACGGGAACACTTGGGGTGAAAGTGGTTCTGAGCAGCCAGAAAGGCTGGCAGAAAAACTGGCCACAGAGGACTTCAGCCTGGAGGAGTCAAGAAAACACTGAGCTGGAAGTAGAAGAAGCCTGTTCTAGACGGGAACCCCAGCTGTAAACGTTTGTCCCGGGTCAAGTGCCCTGCTCAGATGAACTGCCTTCTCCTCAAACTGGCTCCAGCTCTTTTGCCTTCCCGGTTATTCATTTATTTTTTAGGGCTCTTTATTGGCTCCGAATGGAGGAAGGGGGCAGGCAGGAGATGACTGGCTGTGTGAGAGCAGCGCCCCGCTCTTCCCCCTCCCACACCCCAGAGGAACAGCTGGAATGAGAGGTGGGCGGGGTGGCCGATTGGCTGGAGTCAGTGCGGGTGTGGTGAGGCAGCACGCGGAGGCCTTCACCTGTCCAGGTAAGTCAGGAGGAGGTCGGAAGGAAAAGGAAAGGTGGAGGCTGGAGGCAGTCTCTGCCTCCATCTCTGCCCTTTGAAATAAAAGGGCCCTAACCAGTGAAGGTGAGTTCCTCGGTAATCCTCTGTTACTATTCTATAGCAAGAGAAAGGACTTAAGGGGAGTCCTAGCTACAGGGTTTGGGGGAGAAGGGGGTGGGTGTCCCTCAACCTTCCAGCTAGGCGCTTGCTTTCCTGTTACTCAGCTCTCTGCACCTAGCCTGGGACCAGTGGGGCACGGCAGCTTTCTGAGATTGGGGACCAGGCTGGGACCCTCTCATTCACTTACATGGGCTGGGTAAGCATACTGTACAAACAAGGGAAGAAAATAGGTTTGTTTTTGGAAAGTTCCATCTCTGAGCAGTTGAGATTGAGTTGTGGATTGGAAGAGAGAAGCACTGGGGTATAAATTGTCAAAGGGAGGAACCCCTCCGGGAGTGAGGTGCCTTGGTTTTCCATTATTTTTGTAACAGGAAATTCTCCGGGACTTCATCGACCCGTGTCTGTCTCTTCTAGTCAGGGGGTGCCGTGTGGGTGGAACTGATGGCAGGGTTCACAGTGGAGCTGTCTGTGGCCAGGGATGCGAGCTATGAGCTGCAGTGGGTTGTTTGTAAAGCCCTCTGAGGACGGGGCGTGTTGGGAAACTCCCGGCTCATGATACCAGCTCATCTTTTGAAAAAACAAAAACCAAAAACCACAGATAATCTAACTACAAAGTCGAGTTTATTTGGGTTCAACTCATTTTGCCTGCTAGTGGATCAGGGGAAACAGAGAGCTCCGTGCCTGTGCGGGGCCTCACCCACATTACACGTCTGCTCTGGAGCGAGCGCCAGGGTGGGGGCAGGGCTCTGCCTGGGTGGCCTGGCGCAGAGCAGAGGAGCACCGGACTGGGGACGGGTTTTGCGCTGTGGGTCTCGGGATGTCCCAGTGGCAGTCAGTGTGTGTGACAGGCGTGACCGTGCCAGGAAGCTGGATGGAGACATTTGAGTCGAGTAGCGCGGCAGCCCTGTTGTCCGTCTTGCGGGTGAACGCTCACCCGTAGCTCCTCTTTTCCCCTTGGTGTCGAGAAGAGGGAAGTTGGAATACTTCGGGGCCAGGCTCTCGGGGCCTGGCATTCCTGGCCTGAAAGGACACTCAAGTGTTCTGTTCCAGAAAGTGGCGCTGTAGCCTCCCCCGCACTAAAGAACCAACCGGAGGGCTGCCAGAGCTGCAGACCTGTCCGCAGCGAACATCACCTGCAGCACCTTTCCAGGGCCCTTCCGTGAGGAGGGCGTTTCCACCCAGCCCTCCCTCAAACTGCTGGTGAAAGAGACGCTGAGATACAGCCTGAACACACAGGGAATCCTGCCAAGCGCTCACAAAGAAAGATGTGCGTGCTTCTGTCTCGCTGGCACTTGACTGAGTACGGTTTCCAACCCGGCACATTTCTGAGGAGCCTGCAAAAAGCAGGGGCCCAGGTCTGAGCAGAAGGGAAGCCTCTCTGATGCTGACAGCAGGGGCTGAGCTCTTGATGGGCCGGGCACAGGCTCCTGGAAGGAGGTGACCAGGTGAGCCGCAGCCTGGCAAGAAGAACTCAGGATGGGGCAGGAGCCCTTTCCTTCCTCACCTCACGCACTTCAGAGGCCGGGACTCCATCCGCAAAGTATTCACCCTCTTCTGGAGGCCTGGTACTTTCAGCAGCATGGTTAATATTCAATGTGTCTTTGGATGGGTGGCCCTGATTATAGGCTGTGCATACTTCTTAATCCTTTCTCTCCTTCTTATAAGTCTCCAAAAGAGGGCAAGGGTGAAAAGATACCAGACTCTCACCTTGACTGTTTTGCTGGTTTCTCATGTTTCTTATCAGACAGAATAGAAATACTTCTAGTTTCGATGGCTGCCCTGATACAGCCCCCAAGTTTCAAGGTTGTAAAACTGGTAGAAGGAAATAAATACAACATTTAGGTTGGGCCAAGCTGAAGGTGGGAAGAAAAAAATATGTTTTACTGTCCCAACTCTTTGGATTAGAAAACTGGGTGTAGCTTCGGGGCAGGTTCGTCTCTCAGAGACTGTGCGGCGCCAGGTGACCCGATCCTCAGTGGCTTTGGGGCCATTTCTTTACCCTGGAAGCATGTACCTGGTCGTGGGTCAATAAACCGCCTGGAGTACACTGCTCAGGGTTTAAGGACAAGCACAGTCAGAGGTATGAAGTGGAGATCCAAGGGTGACCCTGAGGACTTTTGTAATTAGGGTGAGCAGTGACCCTTCCTTCAGTGCGTGCTGCCTGGCACTTTGGTGGCCCCTGAAGTGGCCCCTGTGGGGCCAGGTGCATGGGCTGCCCTGTGCTTGCAGGCATGCGTCATTCTCGACATCCCCAGAAAGGGGCGTTGGAAGGAGCCCCCGCTTGCTCTTCTGTACAGTGAAGGAAAGAAATGTGACTGTTTGCCTGCCGCCCTGTAAATCTGAAGAAGTGATAAGATATCTGAGAGCCCTTTGTAAGTCACCGCTTGCTGTGTCCTTATGCTGTTTCATACCCCTAGTCCTGTTAGGTGCCTGTAAATATTAATTTAACTGGAAATATTGCCCAGATTCTACTCAGCCAGGTATTCTCAGGAAATGAAATATTTGAGAAAAAGCTTACATGCATGGGTCAGAAGCCAAGAAGAAGCCTTCCAACAGCACAGCCCAGTAGACACCAGAGCAATGAGGTGTTTGGCCAGCACAGCATTTTCTGAGGGCCTCGTGTGCCTCGTCTTGTGAGAACTAGATGACGTGGCTGCCATGGCCTCAGATGTACAGAATGTGAGGAATGGGCTGGAGCTCTGAGCCTGGACAGTCACTTGGCGGGCGTAGCTGAGATGAGCAGACTTTTCCCACTCGCTCTGTTCCCCGCGCTCCTATTTCTTCAATGTTCTAGATAAGGAGGAGCTGAGCTCACGAGGAAGGCCCCAGCTCTCCACCAATGTGCTCCTTGGCATCTCTGCCTCTCTGCTTCCCTCCACATCTGTGGAGAGCTGCTGGGCCCTTACAGAACCATGCATGTCTGACTCATTTGGGGCCTTGTCTTTCCCGGGTTCCCTGCTCTTCCCTCTCGGCCCCATTTAAGGGGCTCCCCCTGAGTGGAAAGGGAGCTCCGTGAGGCCTTGCACCTGCCAGCTTATAGGGTTGGGAGGCCAACTCTTCCAAGCCAGCCCCAACCTGATGTTGGCATGGAAGCACTTGGCAGGGGCCGAGGGGACACCTGCCACTGTACCGGAACCCAAATAGGCAGGTCCCAGACATTTTACCTTACACTGGGAGAGCAGAGGAGATAGTTAGAATATAGCATGGTGTTATGGGCAAAATACAGATTCAGAATCAGACAGACGTTATTCTAGCTCTCCCCAACCTTCTGTTGTACCTTGAAGCTGTCTTTGGGATATAATTTCTTCAGAATTTCATTTTACATACAAGAGAACCCATGGCCTGCTCAGCTGTGGCAGAGTCTTTCCCACAGAGAGGCACATGCAAATCCGTGGGCCTTCCAGTGGGAAAGCACCCGCAGCTTCCTCTGATAACTGCTACTGTCATAAAGAATTTGCATTTTTCCCCCTAAGGATTTGGAATTGGGAGGAAGCTGCATAGGACATTTCTCTTGTTCGTCTGACACAGGTTAGGGAGCTTTGCTGGGAACACAGGCACCAGCAGAAAGTCACACCCAGGAAGGAGGGAGATCAGTTCCTGTCACCTCTGCAGGGCTGACGCTGGCCAGCGTAGGGGCGGTCGCGATGGTGTTGAAGATGCAGAGGTAGCAGCTGATGGTGGCTGACCGCGAACCTCGCAAGTGTCTGACTTGAAATGTCCTTACATCATCGTCTCACTGTGCGATTTGAGGGTGGGGCCCTGTCCTCTCGAGCCTCTGGTCTCTCATCTAACCAGCACCCTACTTTTCTAAATCCTTATTCCCCTTGCTTTAGAGAGTTAGTTTGGTCCTAGACTGATCTTATCTTTTTCTTATTACAAGAACAATTTTAGATATCTGTTACGTGTTTGAGTGTTCACTACCAACTGGACTATGCTAAGTGTTTTTTCATTTAATCCTTACATTAACCCCATGCAATGAGGAAAAGCAGGCTTGGTTCAAAGCAAATAACTAGACTGCTCAGCCTTTCGAGCCTCAACCCAAATACCTGCAGACCCGGTGCTCTCAATCCCCGTAATATCTATTGTTTACACTAAGAAAAGTGCAGGCTAAGCTTTCTGGCTTCCAGAAAAGAGTAACTAAGAAAAGTGATGGGAATTCCCCCCACCTGGACAGCCTCTGTGACACCTGAGATTCTGCCTTCCGCGGGTGTCTGAGGCAGCTGGGGGTGGCGCTCAGGTCCCGGCTGGTCACGGTCCCCTCCAGCTCTCTGCTTGCTTGGTGTCTTTGCCACCGCACTGCCCCAGGCCTGGGCAGAGCCATGCAGAAGCCGGCCTCACACGTGGCTTTGATTCTTCTCTTTTCAGGCCCGGCTTGGGACACTGTCCGCTTCCCTTCGCTTCCCCTCTGGGAGCCCCTTTCGCCACCCCTGCACCTTGCTTCGGGTGATGCCTGAGAGGGAGCTGTGGCCAGAAGGGCCTGGCTCGGCACCAGGGACCCACCTCAGCAGCCGCGACAGCATGATGAGCGCCACCTCCACCCACTCTGAATCTGTACGTACTCTCCTCCTGCAGCCTGGCCACGCCTGCTCTGCTCCCAGCCCTGGTCTCTGCAGCTTCTCTTTCATCTTCCTCTCCCGTCAGTGAATCACAGCGTTAGTGGATACCGTCCGCCTCTGAGTCACCCCTGGTTCCACAGAGAACGGGCGGGACAGTCTCGGAGAGGAAAGCACTAGGACCAGTAAGGCTTTTCCCTCCAATGTGCGCTGGGTTGAGGGGTTGAGGTGAGGAGAAAGAGCAGGCCTGAGATTTGAGGTTGGGTGGAAACTAGAACACTGTTGGAGCGCATGGACTCTCGTTCTCTGCAGTGGGCAGCTTGACTTGGTCTTTTCCAAAGATCAAAGCAAGTAAAGTCATTAGAAGCCTAAGTTCTAGAGCCACACAGATCTGGGTATTCTATTATGAGCCATATGACCTTTGGCAGATTACGGAATCTAAGACTCCTAGCATTTAAAATGTGGGTGGTAAGCCGGGCACGGTGGCACACACCTGTAATCCTAGCACTTGGGAGGCTGAGGCAGGAGGATTGCCACGAGTTCAAGACCAGCCTGGGCAGTATAGTGAGTTCCAGGTCAGTCTCAACTACGTAGTGAGACCCTGTCTCAAACAACCAAAATAAATAAATAAAAAATAAATAAAATAGGGGTGGCACTCACACCCAACACATAGATTCTCATGGGAAAATGCACACAGATACAAAGCATTGAGCACTTCCCTCTCTGTGGAAAAGAAACAGCCTGTCTCTGAGCAGAGTCTGAGAAACTCAAAGTCAACGTGTTCATTTGCGAATGGGATGTAATAAACTATTTTTTCTGGGAATGAATTTAAACCTTGGTTACTGCTAAGACTGGTGTGAAGGACTAAACCTGCCCTACATCCAAAAGCAAACATTTCTTCCTTGTTCATCCTTGTCACATACATGATAACCTTAGAGAACGTAACCTTTATCTCTTTGTGTTCTATAAAGATATTTGTAGATTCATGAGGTCTCTACTGAATGTCACAGAGGTTTAATATAGTTCATGGATTTTGATGCATAAAAATGGAGGCAAAAAGCAACACACACACACACACACACACACACACAGTCAAAATGCAGACAGTGTGTGCAGAATTTCCTTTTGGCCTTACGGGATGGGAACACAGAGGCAGCCTCATGTTTCTGACAAGCTGAGGCCAGTATGAACAGTCTCATTCCATGAATGCAGAATGGGGCAGAGATTAGAGGCTTTCAAGGTGAATGATCAGCAGAGGGGAAATTAGAGTAAGTTCGTCTGGTCCAGGCTGTTTCAACAGGATGAGGACAATCAAGATTTTCATTCCAGGAACTCCCAGGGCGTCTGTGGGGCTTCCCATGACACAGAGGCCTCACAGAAGCCATGTAACTTTTTAAGGGCAGCTGGAAAAGTGATATTTAACACCCCCCCAGGTATTATTAGGGTCATCTCAAAATTTTCCCTGGCCACCCGAATGGATCTGGAGAATATATATATATAT